GTGCAGCCCAGTTCCCAACAGGCCGTGGACTGGTACCGGTCCATAGCCCAGAGTTTGGGGAACTCTGTTCTAAAATATTGGCCATTCCCCTAGCTTGGTGTTGTAGAGCAAATTTGATGAGTTCCCTTTTATCCCCACATCTAAATTAAGTATTTTAACATTTCTTTATTCCACAGGAGGTCAATATATACCTGCAGCAGCTAAGCTGTTTGAGGCCAAGCCCTTGGCTCCATTACTATTCCTATAGATTCCTATAGCTCTACTGACAGAAGACAAATTTAAAAATGGGTGAAAACAGTTTACAAGAAATTCTTTCTCCCAAAATTTACCCCCACTTGCTTATTATGTTTTGGTGATGAGCAAGCAAAGTTACACTTAAATAATGTATGTTTAAAATAGATCACCAAATGGGTAATAATACTCAGCTTCCCATGGCAGATGGCAGGACATACACAGGCACCAGCTACCTATTATACACAGCTTAACATCCCAAATTAGAGAAGGGTTTTTATCTTATGTCCTGTCCCGTCCCGTCCCGTCCCATCCCGTCCCCTCCTCTCTTCTCCTTTCCTCTCCTCTCCTCTCCTCTCCTATCTTTTATCTTAGTCCAACATAATGCTCTCCCCTCAGCACTTCTTACTGGAAGATTCAAAAATATCCCATACTTATTACATGTATGTCCTTGTGATTCAGGACAGATAGAGACAATAATACCCTTCTGCATTACTAGTTTGATACAGAACCTGGAAATGCTCTAATTCAGGGTTGTCAAAGTGGGCCGGATGCATCAAAGCAAAACCACACCCACCCCATTGCCAGCAATGGCAAAAAAGTTGTGATATGTTTGACAGCCCTGCTCTAATTACTCCATTTCTGACTAGCAAAACAGGATACAATAATGAGCAGTGTAAGCAATTTCTATTTTCTGACATCAACTGTGAAATAACACACAAGATTTCCAGATTTTACGTGGAAGCATGCAAAATCAGGAAAGAAGATTAATCAAGAGCAATTGAATCTACCTGAGTATGCATAACCAGAAATGGCTATGGCTCAGCATTAACCAATGGCTTTAGGATGTACATGCCATGCCAGCTATTGAACTATACTCTCCTCGGAATTGACATGGATCTGTAAGGGAAATTAGTAATTCTTAAATCCCTTTTGGATAATTAATTTTCTTCTTTTCTTAGGAAATATACACATTCTATGTGTGTGTATTTGTGTGCATGTATGTATAATTGTTGTGTTTTGTACTGCTGTTCTAAGTTGATATTAGCCAGATTACTAATAATTATTAACACTAATCATCAATTGTAAATTGTTTTATGCTCTGCAAGAGTTTTCCTCATTTATCCTGGTTGGGGTTTATATACCACCCCAGGCTTGCACGAGCAGCATACTATAGACCAGTGGTGGCGAACCTATGGCACGGGTGCCAGAGGCGGCACTCAGAGCCCTCACTATGGGCACACGCGCCGTCGCCCCAGTTCTAGGCCTTCAGCTGGGTTTTATAAAACCTTTTCGCTTTAGGCCTCCGCCACCATGTGCAAAAAAAAAAAAAAAGGTTCAATCAGTCAATTTCAACTTCTCACGGGAAAAAAAAAGATCTTGCAAAGTAAGAATTGATTGATTGAACTCTTTAGTCCCACCCAGTCTGCCGTTACCACCGCAGCCACGCCTACCCAATTGGCCATGCCCACCCAATTGGCCACATCCAGCCAATGCGCTACACCCACCCAGCACTCGATGCATAAGTGGGTTTTGGGTTGCAGTTTGGGCACTCAGTCTCTTAAAGGTTCACCATCACTGCTATAGACTCTAGCTGACCAGATACTTTGTACAGAACAGAAATATACAAACTCCCTATTTATTGTCTTAGCAGATTTTAACAGAGCCACCTCATTCATGAGTTGCCCAGATATATAAAGCATGTTAGTTGTCTCATTAGAGGCAACATATTGGATCACTGCTGCTCCACATTAAAAGGTGATTACTGCTCTCTCCCTTGTGTAGCTATAGGCAGAAATTCAAAACTGCAAAGCCTATAGAAGGAATAATGAAAAGATGGACAAGCAAACTACAGGCTTGCTTTGAATGCACAGACTGGAGCATTTCTGAAGCTGCTTCAACAGACTTGGATGAATTTATAGATACTATGACATCATGTATTAGCTGTTGTAAGGATAGGTATAAGCCTACCAAGAGCTTGTGCACATATAACAACAATAAGCTGTGGCTTATGGCAAAGCTCAAGCAGCTTCTTCATGCCAAAGAGGAGGCCCACAGGAAAGGAGATAGGATCTCGTATAATCAGGCTAGGAACTATTGACAAGGGAGATTAGGGTAGCAAAGAGAAGCTATTCTGAAAAGCTGAAAAACAGTTCTCTGCTAACGCACCAACTGGCAGACGACCTGAATGTGTCCTACTGTAGGTTTGAGAAGAGGTCATTGTTTTCTACTGTTACCTACTACAACCCAGATACAACAACAGTAGCTAATTTCCCTACACCTATCTCCATCCTCAGGGCCTCCCACCTCTGGTGATCTCAGAAAAAGGATGAGTGAGGTCTATTTCAGACAAAAGATTGGAAAAGTACAGACAGTGACTCCCTCTTGCTTGAAAGGTTATGTTGAACAAGTGACCCCCATCTTCACACAGGTTTTTAATAAATCACTGGAGATGTATTATGTTCCTTCTTGCTTTAAACACTCTACCAACATCCCATTCCTAAGAAATCCTCCATCCAGGTGCTGAATGACTACAGGCCAGTTGCTCTGACCACTGCAGTCATGAAAACTTGAGAGGTCAGTGCTGGCTCACTTGAAAGTCATCACAGATCCACTGTTAGACTCCTTGCAGTTAGTCTACCGAGCAAATAGATTGGCAGATGATGGTGTTAATATGACATTGTGTTACATCCTGCAACATCTTGAATCCCCAGGGACCTACGCATGGACTCTTTTTGTGGACTTTTCAGCATTTAATACCATCACTCCAGAAATTCTTCACTCTACACAGATTCAGCTCACTGTGCCTGTTCATACTTGTAAGTAAATAATCAGCTTTTTCATAAATAGGAAGCAACAGGTGTAGCTCGGGGAAAATTACGTCTAGTACCCGAGCAATTCTCACGGGTGCCACTCAGGACTGTGTTCTCTCTCCATTGTTCTTCTCCCTCTTTCTGTACCAATGAATGCACCTCAGGGGGAACCCTCTGTTAAAGTTCTGAAATTTGCAGATGATACAATGGTCATTGGTCTCATTTGAGATGGTGACGAGGCTTCAAGTTTCATTAATATTTTGCGATTTAGGTATTTTCTGCATGACCATTATTATATTTATCCAATATGATTTAGCATGTTCATAAGACCACCTCATGAGATAAAATGTACCTGGAGTTTAACTACATTTCCAGCATTTGTTGAAAGTTCCACTACATATTCTTGCCAATCTATCTGGAGTCAAATACCATCAATACATCATCTTACAGAAGTTTTCTTTCAAACTGTAATTCAAAGTAAACTTTAAATCTTTAATCCACGTATTTTCCTATTGATCTAACATTATATTATAACCAAGGATTTTCTCGCATTTTACCATACTATGTTCATCTTCCAAGTTCATCCTAAGCAGTATTCTATAAACTTAAGAAATCAAGTGCTCATATAATTAATTAAATATTTTATGCTAGTGCCTTTTTCCACATTTTTGGCAAACTCGATTCTCAGATAAAATTCTTATTCTTTCAAATCCAATAGTAATAAATTGGCTCCCATTGCTCCCATTTGCATATCTAACTTTTCTTTGTTGATATGAGTATTTTTAATATCTTCCTTCATTTGGTTTAACCCTATTGCAATTTTTTCAGTTTTTGGTCCAGCCTTTCATTTAAATTTTTATCCATTGCATCAAATTTATCAGACATTTTTTGTACTGTGTAAATTCAAGAACATTTTCTACTCAAAACTCTCCATAAAAAGTTGGACATTCAAATTCTCTTTTCTCTTTTATCTCTCTCTCCTCTCTCTCTCAGTATTTTGCTTGATTGCTTGATATATAGTTCTAAAAATACCTAATTAGAGTTCTCTGATTCTTAATAAATTTCAGTGAGCTCTCATGGCCAATATACAGCATACCAAATAAATAATCTTTAAGCAATGTTCAAGATCAAAAATATTTCAAAGTGTTTCCAAACAATACTGTTTCTTAGATCAAAATTGCTGTTCCCATAATGAGGAAAGAAAAAAAAGAGAGGAAATTTTCCCTTTCTTGAATTAAGAAAAAGTATGTATAAGGAAAAAGGAATGAAATACTAAAGTTCTTTAAAAAATATATAGCATTTTCAATAAATAATTTCAATAATTACAATAATGTAGCCTTTTTAATAAATAACTAATAATTAATGTAGTCTTTTCAATAAATAATCAAAAAGCCTAAATGGCTAAAATCACATCACAAGAAGACAAAAGACTGAAGTTTGCCACTGCTGATCCATGTGAGAAATCAGATGAAAGTGATAAATCAGATGAAGTCTCATCCTGAAGGCAATAAAAGTCTTTAATTATAGTCTATCAAGGGAGTGCATTGGACTTAACCGCATTCAACCAGGCAATTCACATGTAATCCACTCATCCAAACTAAAAGGCAAAATAAAAAGGGAAAAAAATACATGTGAAAGTTAAAAATTAATAGCAGAAGCAGGACCTCTAAAAATGCAGACAGTGGTTGCTGATGAGCAGAAGTTTATTTCTAAAAAAAATTAAATAGATACATATACGTTCAAAAATTCTTTGTTCATAATTAAAATGAAAACATGCATTGTTTTCATTTTAATTAATATATTCATCCCTCTCTGGGGCTGCCAGTTGGCAGGGTCACTCAAAATAACCTTCCTTTCTGAGTTCAGTTGATTAAAAAGGAAAATCCATGGATTTAACCCACTAAATTAGCATAGATTCTCATCCAAATCTATCTCTGTTTCGGAAATTGGCTCCACGTCTCTATGGATCCTCTTATGGGAAGTAAGAATACCTGGTCGGCTGAAGCACTTTCCACACTCCATGCATTTATATGGCTTCTCTCCTGTGTGTGTCCTTTTATGGGAAATAAGATTACTGTGTTCACTGAAGCACCTTCCACATTCGACACATTTATATGGCTTCTCCCCTGTGTGGATCCTTTTATGGGAAGTAAGACTACTGTGTTGACTGAAAACCCTTCCACAGTCCATGCATTTAAATGGCTTCTCTCCTGAGTGAGTCCTTTTATGGGAAATAAGATTACTGTGTTCACTGAAACCCTTTCCACACTCCATACATTTATATGGCCTCTCCCCTGTGTGGATCCTTTTATGGGAAGTAAGATTACCGAGCTCACTGAAGCCTTTTCCACACTCCATACATTTATATGGTTTATCCCCTGTATGAATCCTCTTATGTCTCAGAAGGGATGAATTGATATGGAACCCCTTTCCACACTCCATGCATTTATATGGCTTCTCCCCTCTATGAATCCATTTATGGGAAGCAAGTTGACTGCTATGAGTAAAAGACTTTCCACATTCCACGCATACGTAAGGCCTCTCTCCAGTGTGGATCGCTTTATGGGAAGCAAGTTGACTGTTATGAGTAAAGGTCTTTCCACATTCCATGCATTTGTAAGGCCTCTCCCCTGTGTGGATCCTTTTATGGGTTGTAAGATCACTATGTATTCTGAAGCCCTTTCCACATTCTATGCATTTATATGGCTTCTCCCCGGTGTGGATCCTTTTATGGGAAGTAAGATCACTATGTACTCTGAAGCTCTTTCCACATTCTATGCATTTATATGGCTTTTCCCCCGTATGGATCCTTTTATGGGAGGTAAGATTACTGCTGCAACTAAAGGTCTTTCCACACTCCATGCATTTAAATGGCTTCTCCCCTGTGTGGATCCTTTTATGGGAAGTAAGGCTACTTGGTTTAGTGAAACCCTTTCCACACTCCATGCATTTAAATGGCTTTTCCTCTGTGTGGCTTCTTTTATGAACAGTAAGAGTGTTGTTTTCACAAAAGCTCTTTCCGTGCTCAAGGGATTTATTTGGCTTCTCTCCCATGTGAAGACTTTTTTGTGATGTAAAAGACCTATTTTCTTGTGAAAGTGTGGAAGTCCAATTATAATTTTTTCCATTGTCTTTACATATATAACCTTGTCCTTTGGCTTGGGATGGATGGTGTCCATGTGTATCTAGTGTGCCTTTGGATAGTCTTATACCTTTCCCAATATATTTTTTCTGTATTTTTCCTCGTTGCTCAAGAAACTCCTGCATGTGAGCATCAATGGAAGATGAGCTTTCCTTATTCCAATTGCTTGACT